ACCGACCACTCCCACCACCGCCCCCCTTTTTGCGTGTGGAAAGCCGAGTGCCGAAAATGCCAACCCTCAGTTGCCCGGAACACTTTGCTGATTATTAAAAGCATACTTCTGGGCGGCGATGCGATGATGAGGCGGTGACTGGAGGACAAGTGCATAATTTTCCAATTGCTTTGTTTTATGTGCGACTTATGGGGTGGTGTCGTACAGTCCGGCTGTCCCTTTGTCCGGACCCGGAGTGCGTCCTTTATTGCCGTACAATGTAAACAACAGCATCGCCACAAGAGATCTGGAAAGCGTTCCAAAATTTCATTATTTTAATTTAATATGCAGAAGGGGGGAATGCCTCAGCCTCGGGGTTGAACAGTCCTTTTTGACATATTTTCATTTTCATTTGGATTTGCATTTCTCGCTTACCATAATTTCCCCTTTTCATTGTGGAGATTTGCGAGCCCATTGCGGAAGGTGTGGATGTGGGAAGTGCGCAGCTTCAAACGCAGCCAGCAGGTTGACTTCCGCACCACCGCCCATCGGTGGTGGTGGCATCGAGTTTCAACCCCTGTGCTGCGCTTATGATTATGATATTATTTCGAAATTATCCGCTTAGTTTCACGGAGTGGAAGCGGGCCATATGTGCGGCCATTGTGCCGGAAAATGGAATCATCTCACTGTTAATAATGATGACATATGATTTCCATTGTCAAATTTGTTGCTGGCGCTGTTTAAGTGAATTGGGCGCTTTGTCATCTTTTTTATTGAGTCAAGTCAGTTATGGGTGTTGTTAGTGTTATCTTGCAGCGGGTAACCGGTTGCGTTAAATTTGTTGGCACATCATTAGTCAGGGGCGATGTCGATGAAGGTGCCCCGAACATGAACATGGCAAGTATTCTGATTTTGTCTGTTGCCGCATCTGTTTGGAAATTTTTGAAGGGTGGAAGGGTTAGCTACAGCTACAGTAGATCATACGGACCATGACAATGTTTGGGTTACACAAAGTGGGCGGCAAAAGGGCTCACATTTTGATTTACGATAGGCGAGCTTAATGTCTGCCATTAGCTAAAGTCAAATTCCTGCTGGAATGGGTTGGGTAACTCACTGGACATATTTTGATTAAAAATAGTTGACAATGACTCAGCCGAAAATTATGTTTAAATAAGTTGTAATTGGTTAGATTGCGCGGGATGAAACTAGTGTAGCATACTTTTCGTCTTAGAATAAACAATATATAGAAATAAATTCCTGCATTGAAATACTGGAAATAGATAAATAAATTAGTTAAAAGAGAAATAAAATAATACCATTTAATAACGGAAAATAAAAAATACTATTCAATTAAATTTAATTAATACTACTGTATTATTCACAAAGAAAAGATATTTTTTGGATTTAGTTTTGAAAAACGGAAAGAGCTAAACAAATTAACAAAAATTTATATATATTTATTATCACTTTTCCACTTAAAAATGTTTTAAGTAACCACAGCATATATACAGAAACCCACAACCATTCAAGGAATAAAATCCATATTAATTAAACTAATCCTTACCTTATTTTACAATAAGTCCCACGTCACTTTGCAATCCCGTGATATAAGATTTCCGTACCTTATTTTGGAAGAGTAAATCCCCCGTCTTCAACTGGACGTAACTTTTCATTAAAAATTCATAAAACTTTAGTCGGTTATTGGGTATAGATCACGTTCGGACCATCAATCACATGACTGGCGGGACATGAGCGAAATTTTTAATGGCCGCCAATCAAAGTCGGGCTAAAACTACGCCAGAAAGTGACACAAAATCTGCTCCACGGGTGGCGAATCTGCCCACATTTAGCTCGAGCTCCTGCAATCCCCTGCCGGATATTTCCACCTGCTGTGCGGCAAATTGTTCCTTTCGCCTTATTGAAAAACGCAAAGTCTGCGGGGTGAGCGTCGAAGGGATTACGTTCTGCTCGTCGTCGAGGGGGGTGCAGAGTTATTCGAGGCAAATTAATAAATGGACTGAGCAGGAAGGAAGGAAGGAAGGCGTTGCGTGGGTGGGGCTGTCCCGATATGGGGGACTTCGAGGTGAGACGACGGCAACCGCTTGACAATGGACATTTACAAATTTCGTGTGATTTGTTCCCGGCTTCGCCACTTCCGTGATGTCTTGTCGCCGCCTGGAGCCCGCTCCTTGGCTGCTTGCTCGTTGGGATTATAAAAATAAAAACTGCCTTCTGCCTTCTGCCATATGCCATTTAAATGATAAAAGGATTTCATCCTCCTCCCCCCAAAAAAAAAATAAAACACATACTACAACACACCAAAGCTAAGGCTGACCGCCCCCCAAATGGACACGCACACGTGGTCAATTGCGTTTGGGGTCAACCCTTTCGCACCAGCGCCATCATTCTGCTGTCCAGCCCTTTCTCCAGCTCCAGTTCGTCCCCCAATCTTTGGCTTCCAGGACACTGAAGAAAAAACAGCATATACTTAAATTATTTTATCCTTAAATATAAACATTTCTATTAAATTGTCTGTCTTAATAAAAGACAGTAGTTTATGTTCTATGGGTGGAAAAGTAACATTATCAATCTATAGTTCTTCTTAGCATTATACAAATTTTAATAAATGTGTTTGTCTTAATAAAAAATCATTTGTTTATGTTCCAGTATTAAATACATTTGTAAACGTATGTTGTTGCCTAAGAAGCATTATATTCTCTTAATTAAGAAAAGCTTAAAAAAAAAGTCATAAAAGCATTATATATTTTTATCAGTAACACATCTTAAGAACCCAATTAACTTTGAAATGTTTATTTAAGTGAAAGAATCGAACCCAAAAGATCTAGCTGGGCAATGCTTAATACTCAACAATGCGTTAAAGTTTCCACTTTCTTTTCTGTGAAAAATAATAATAAAACGTTAAGACGAGAAAAGTTTCAAATATTCTTTTTCAGTGTTGGGCTCCGGCTTCTACTCGAAGTGTCAGCACATTTTTCAAAGGCGCATATAAAATGGCAGTCATACATTATGGCCATATCTGGCTGGGCCAGTCCGGAGTCGGCCCAACCGTTGTCAGTGGATCGGGGAAATGGTCAGTGGGCGGCGGGGATGGGGTCTGGAATGGGGTTCGTGAGCTGGCGCACGAGTAACCCCTGTTTTTTATGTGTGTAATGCCTCGGTACAGATTATGCATTAAGCGCTTATTTAGCATTTTTCTTACATAATGTCCTCTTCCACTTTGCAATGTTTCGAGCCCATCCCCAATGTCCAGTTCGAATGGCATGTTGTGGGATGGAATGGCTCGTTCTATATATATACATATCTACACATACATATATGGCCATAAAGAGTGGACAATGTTATGTGCCTTCTAATCTGTTTATGCTTATGTTACCGTTAGTACATTAACCCCTGTGTGGGTGAAGGGGTGGCCAACGACTTACCTTAATCGCTTTCCCTCGTAAAATGGGGAGTTGTAATAGTTACTTTGAAGAGTATTTATTAGCTACATTCACCATATATTTAGAACTTTTTTATTGATAACTATGTGTGTATAACAAAAGTATTTAAAATAATATTTAACTGCAATAAATTTCACTATAAATGATTTATATTCTTAAAACAAATTAATGAATTAGTAGTCTCAAAATCGAAATGAATTGAGAGTCTTTTAAAAAAGAATATTAGTCAGCTACATATCAAAATAATTGGTGTAAAAATCATTTTAAGTGCATTCTTTTTAAAACGACAATAAAAAAAAACCTAAAATTGATGTATAACTATTTATAGCAAGTCAGATATTTAAAATATACTCCACTATACCATATACAATATAGAGAAATAAGGATTTATTTCTCAGCTGTCTATACTGACCTTTATACTGTTAATATTCAGGCTTGCTTTGCAATGTAATTTCCCATTCAATTGGGCTCAATGCAAATGGATTCAAGAGCGCAAAGAACGCAGGAACGAAGGAATAATTGCTTTTTTGCTAATTAATTTGTTATTTTGACTTGCTCCTCATCTGCCCGTTGGCAATGTCCCGATTTTCCCTGGCCGTCTGACGGGCTCATTTCTTTTTTGGCCTGTCCGGTCCGGGCTTATTTCGCTATTAGCGAGCAGCTCTTGTAGGCAAAATGGATAATTATATAAGGCGAACACAGTTGAGGGACAACGATGCTGGGGACAACGATGCGCCGATTTAATGAAAATTGCATTTTAATTTCATAAGCAAAGACTTCCGAAAATCGCCCCCAATTAATTGCCCCAAGCCCCAAGGCCGGAACCTTCATAATTTCCGCATTCGGACTAAATGACCGTTGCGGCTTAAAATAATTGCCCAATTGGCTTTAAGTGGACACACGAGCATTTCATAGTTAGGACACCACCCCACCACCCATCCGCCCACCTCAAAAAAAGAAAGCTCGGCAGCTGAAGGCAAAAAATGGTTGCTTAAAAGTGTCCGTTTTTTATTTGATTTCCTTTTTTCTGTCTTTGGTTAGCTGTCGCTCACGTAGGCAGTGTCCATGTAATTAAATTAAAATGGAAAATTTACTCGTACTGCGGATTAAATTAATTTTCATTTGCATTTGCATAAGTTCGTCCCCCCTTGCCACCACCTCTGCTCCCATCCTTGGTCCTCGTCCATTCATTAATTCCTTCATTATGCCATTTATTGCTGTGCTTGCTAGAAATGTGCCTTAGTTTTTATTTTCGGCCCATGTTCATTACCCGAGAGCCCAGAGCTAACTACGTAGTAGTCTGGCAGAACCGCACACAAATGTGCAGACAAAGGAATAATATATAAAATATATAAAACATTACCAATTTTTAACATTTTTTAGAATTGCAAAAAAACATATGTATAATTATATATGCTGGTGACAATGAATGTAATGATCCAACTATTACCTTAAGGTAAAATATGTTTATCTACTAACGATGATAAATAAAAATAAAACCAAATAATAGTTTGATTCAAGAAGATTCAAGAATAAATATGTTAAAAGACTACTTTCAAGTATTGTGTGGGTCCAAAGTGAACAAACATGCACTTCTCTAATCTATTCTTTACTTCGATTGGAAAATACCATAGTATTATAATACATCTATCCAAATAATGTATCTTTCTTAGCCCTAAAAGCTATAACATTTTGATACATTTTTAAACAGATTGATGGTCTTTATAATATATCCATAGAACCTTATCTTCCTGGTATTCCTTAATGGATAGATTTAAATACTGCTCATCGCTGAAAGATTTCTGAAATAACAAGAAGGACATTTATTTATTACGTGAATTCTTATGATGCGTGGTATTTCTGCTTACCGGTTCAATAAAAACCTGACTAACGAAACAGCTGAGCCTCAGTGGACTTCGATGCTTTGGATCTCGAACTGATTTCAGTGCTTCGATTGCGCGCTGCGTAAAATCAGCACTGATAAACTGCACTCGAGGATTAAAGTGCAAGTCGATGGACTGGAGCTTCGGACATTCCTTGAAACATAGCACCAGGTAATCAGATATCTCCATGAACATTGGATCCGACTTGATTTCCAAGCATTCAAGTTGAGTGAGGTTTGACAAAACGGTAAAGCTAATGGCATCTCGGAGTCCACACCTAAGCCTTCTCAATGATGCGATTTGAGCAATCCTTTGGGCCTCTTCGAAGACTAGATACCTGTAGGTTATGATCAGTTCCTGGAGCTGGTGTGTCAAACCTGCAGGCAATGGTTCAAATATCAATTTTAGGGAACACACCTCCTTTGGCAACTCAATCAGCAATCTTTGGCGGTCCAAGTGCTGAGCCACGCCCACGAGACCCCTAAAATGTGATGACAGAAGATCTCGCGAAACGTGTTCTGGAATTCGAGTCATCAAAGTTTCGACCTCATCGTACTCTTCAGGATATGCCATATGAGCATTTCTGCATCCAATAATGAGAGTTGTCAATTCATTTAACCGCAAGAGACCTCTAATGTCTTTTAATTTTCCAAATCTATAAATAAGTCTCTGCAATGACTTTATTTTTGAAATTTCTTCGGCTTCCTCCTGGCTGATGGGTGCACCTTTGAGTATCAAACTCTGTAGGTTTGATCCGCTTACCAAGGCCAACATCTTGAACAGCTCCACAAGGAAAGGATTCCCCTTATCCTTCAAAATTATCATTTCCTTAAGAAAAATTTGGTGCAATCGTATTTTAAATCCCACTATGCCTTGAGCAGGCAACTCGTCTGGAACTGAAATGTCATTCAGTGAGAGTTTCCTGAGGAGGCCTTTCAAAACATCCTCTTGATCGAAGCCAACAACTAAATAGTTTAGTTCCGGTAAGCCAGCCAGTAATTCAAGGTCCATTGCGTCCGAGAAGCCGCATTTAAGAGTCCTTAGAGACTTGATGGATGCCACTTCCCTGAACTCCAAAGTGCTTAACTTCAAAACGCCAGACTCAATTTCATCATTTCTTGTTTCCATTATCACCTCGCGAAGAGACGGACTTTGCCTTGTGGCTAGTTGGGCCAAAAAAGATTGGAGTGATCTAACTTTTCTAGCTCCCGAAATTCGAACTGACTTTAAGTTCTTAACGCTTGCTAGTGGAGTGATGTCTCTGGCCATTTTGGGAGAATGTTTCGCAAATGCGTTACACAGTGTTAACCGGCCAGTAGTCTGGTTAAAACTTATTTCTTCTCCCCCCAGACTTATGGTTAATTCTTCCTTAACAGAATTAAAAATGTCAACAATACTCTCTGGAAAACTGTTGCCAAAGGAATTACCAAGTCCGAGGTAAGTTAAATGCTTTAAGTGTTCGATGCTCAGTGCGTCTGTCAATGTGCCATTAAACTCTTTTAGAGATTTCATATTGGCTAATTCAAGTGTCTCATTAAAATCGAGAGACCCGTCGCTTATTACAATTTTCTTCAGTCGGTTATTATCTCTCATTGCTATGGCGTTAAATAGTTTTCCTAAATTGCCTCGTTTAATGCTTATTCCAAGGTTTTCTACCCACTCAACATTGGCCAGGGCAACTAGCCGGCTATCATCTGTGTATCTTTCGGTAATACTCATTTGAAGGCCTAGGAAATTTAGACAGCGGTCAGACTTTATTATAATGTCCCTGGTGGAGAAGAACATTTTGCTTTCGGAGGCCTGTAAAACTTTGAGTATACCATGCGAAGTTTCGTGGAAGTTTTGTAGCGAGGTAATGCTAAGCACCTTTAGATTTTCTTTAGCTAGGTCTGCGAATTTCCCGATGTCCTGAGCGTTTTCAAAGCCGCACTGCAACTGCACCAAAGATCTTATTTGGGTCAGCTCCCTAGCCTCCTGAGTATTGATCGCTCCTTCGAAAAGCCGAAAATATTGAAGGGTTGAAAAGGGTACCCTTGAAGCCAGGGCGGAAAAAAGATTCTGTAGTGATCCTTTCGATGGCTTACTGGTAATGGTTAGATCTTCGAGTTCTAAAAGATTATGTAGAAGATCTATGTTCTCGGTATCGGAGAATCCACAGACTAACTTTTTCAATTTCCTACAAGTCGACAGGGCTCTAGTTTCTTGGGCGTTAATCACTGGAACCATTGGAGGTCTGAACTGCCAGCCTCTATCACGTAGGGTTTCATAAGCCCAACCAAATGGGTTAATCGCTTTTATTATTAAAATCGACGACTGACACAACGCGAACTTTTTGAAAAGTTCTACAAGAGAACCTGGATTATGAGAGCCGTTTATTTCAAGGTTTTTTAATTTTGGCAACATGAGCAGGGCTCCATAATCAGAGGCATTCACGTTATTGAGAAAAAGTTGCAGATTACCCTTGGGATCCCAATTTATTAAACAGTCTGTCAAAAGTATTTTCATCTTTCCTTGAGACAGCTTTAATATGCTGAAAATTTGCTCTGAGATACTTCTGATATCGTGTTTTGAAAGTACCTCTAGAACGTTCAGGTAAATCAGTTGGGAAAAGGGTTTTAAGTTCAGGTAAGACGTATGTTCAATATCTTGAGAATCCAGAAATCCACACCTTAGTTCGTTTAACGATCTAATCTGAGACAAGGCCTTGGTCTCCTCTAAGTCTATGAGAGCATCCTCTATGGATAATTTTCTGAGAAGCTTGGTAGTCTTCCTGGAGAATGCTCTAAAAAGTGTCTGCAACGTTCCCTGCATATGAACTCCACTAATATTCAACTCTTCGAGGCTGGTCATTTTGGCCAATGGAGCGTATTTTGTGGCATCACCATCCGTATTCATATTGAATTTAAACCTGCTAACTTGGCTGCAATGCGGTGTGATCTCGGCCAAACGACGTCCCGCCGATTCGCCATTAAGGACTGTAAGATCCCACAAGTTGGGGTTATTGCTGCAGCATCTGCTCAACTCATCCAAATTTACTCGAGCATCCAGGAATAGCTTTTTGAGATTCCCAAATCCCGTAAGGTCTTCAACGGTGTAACCTATATAAACGGAAATCAGACAAATCAATACGAAAGATATAGTTGAGTACTACGACTGTCAATAAGCGTTTCAAAACAATTGTGTCCTTAACAGATGGCGCCACTTGCAGTTCTGTGGGAGCGGCAACAAACAAAAAAACAGCGCCATCTGGTTGTTAGATATTTCAATCTGCTATCGATGACGCAATAATATATGTTAAACTTAATTTAGTAATATAATATTTGCAGAAATTATGGTTCGACATTAAACTTTTTTATGTGTGAACGTTTAAACGTTTCCAACTCTTTCTTCTACCTGTTACAAAGTTATAAGCTAATACAAAATACGCTTCTAGTTTACTTTACGAATAACGGGTATAAAAATATCTATTTCCTGCCACTCACCTTTAACCTATAGTTTCGCTAAACGATAATAAAGATAATACTATATCTACCGCCTGCTGATCCTGATTAACAGTATAGAGTTTAGTATATATGCATAGGTATTTACTTATATAAGGTATAGTGGTATTTATTTGTATTAGCTCACCAGAAATATGCATTTTCAATACGTTTAAACGTTTTTTCCTCTTCAGCTGATTCATTACGAGTTGAAACACCTCAATGTGTTCACAATTATAATTCTGTGGTGTATATCGCAACTCGACACTGGTCAGGTTTTCATTCTCTTCAATAGCAAAACTAACGGATTTCCAATAGCCATCCTTTTCCTTTGCGGGGATATTTTGTAGACGTGTGTACATTTCGGCAAAGTCGATATTTATGTAACTTGTAGAGCTCAGATAAAGTAAAAATAAACTTTTATAAAAATCCTTATCCCACTCATAGAACAGATCTCGAAACTGTCTGCGGCAAGCTAAGAAATTAATTAAATCTTTGTATTTTATTTCTGCGAGTGTACGGGCTGTACTTGATGTTTCACAGCTGATTTTCATTTGGTTAAATAACTCATAATAACAAAAATGGTTCAAATTTAAGATCGTTTTGTGTACCATTTTCTTAACACTTGATTTATTAGACTTTTTTTTTATTAATGTAATTGTTCAATAGCACAACGATGTTCACGCTTCCAGTAATTCGCGAAAACTACGCAAAACTGGAAAGAAAAGAGCCAAAAAAGCTCATATAATCTGCTCTCTGAAAATCGTTGCCGGGTTATCAACCGAAAGATAAGTTACTGCACTTTTGGACTCTTCCCGTAAATGAACTTGTGTTCTCTTTATCCAAAGGTGTTTCTCTTAAGATGTTCGAAATTGTTAAGAGAAGCAAATAAGGTAAATATGTATTTCAATTATTATTATCAGTATGTTTATTTAATGGTTCGGCTTGATACATTTTATTTTGAGTTGATAGATATTGAATGAACAAACAAACACAGTTTTTCGCGATTTGTGGGCTTTAGAGTGGGTTTGACACTTTTTCAAAAAAAACTTGAGCTGCGTTTGTTTACATTTTTTCACTTCGTTGAATTTCAGCGGCAACTGAGAGCAAATAACTCGATAAAGCATTTCATTTAAAAATATGTTGATGTGCTCTTAAATGCTGTTTTCTTTTTCACACCCACAAGTTAGCAAAGAGAGAACCGATCAAAGGTACTTTATTATTCGACTTGGCGTAGTTCTCGGAAGTCGGAGCTGAGAACAATTGGATTATGCTAAAATATTTTCATATCATTGCAATGGAAACGTAACAAACGGAATACCTGCAAAATATCGTTAATATTAGTAGGCCACATTGGCAGGTGATTCAAAGAATTACTGAGTGTTGACAACCCGAGTTCATGATGTCCTGGTTAGAGACAGAGAACATTCCGTTCTCTGTGGCATCCCCAAAGTTGGATATTTATGGTGCGTACAATGTTCAAATTCCAAATTAAAATCCTTCAACGAAAATTATTACATTTCATTTAAACCGAGCGAGCAACTTAGGGCACATCATAATTAATCCCATACCAACCCAAAAGACCAAAAGTGACGGAGAGGATGCCATGGCAAGTGGATATGTGTGACCGGGTGGATGTCATATAAATTCCATAATACGATGTAATTAAATTTGAGTCAAACTAAAGCACGTAAAGCTCCCCATAATTGAGCGACATCATGTGAATGCCAGGCAAATGTAAGCACTGGGAAAATTTAATCATAAAAGTAAGTAGGATACATAGGGTTATCATAGATGGCAATACACATTTTCATCACACATTGTTTTATTTAATTTTGGGCTTGCTTACTGACTGTTGTGAACTGGTCTACTAATTTAAAAAGTATAAGAATAATTATGTTTTTGTAATAAGAATTTTAAAAACAATTGACATACAAATAAAAATTGTTTTAATTTTTTATGTCGCTTATGCCAATTACCATTTATCACTTTGATTTAAATATGCATAAAAAAGCAATTATGTTCCTCTTGAAACTTTAAATTTGATAAGACTTATTCAGCCTCGTTGTATTTGAGGACGTAGAATAATAATGTGCTAAAGAAAAAAGGGATCATGTATCCTTGTTAAACTTTTATAAATTGTGTTTTTTTTTTGGCGTTGTATTTTTGGTATTGACTGCTATTAGTTCATTATTTGTTAAATTTTTTTTATAAAAATAGTAAATATATAATATAAATATTAAAATATAGGTGTTTTTAATTAATTATGAGTTTTAAGATAACATATTTAATATGTAACCAAATGTTTCTCAAGGCAAAGCGAAAAATATTTTTATTCCTGTGTGGACTTACATTGTGGAGTAACCAACAGTATCTTGTTTGGCATATAAAGTCATAAACCAAGTATGCAATTAAGCCGCTCTGCTGACAGGGTCTAACCACTCCCTCAGCCCCTTTTTTCCGGCGGAATTCTCTTATTTTTCAGTTGAGCTTATTTTTACAATTTTATTGTTTATAATTTACGATGCAGCCCCAGTGTGAGGGAAATTCCCTCAAGTCAAAGTCGCGGACACGACATGGCGGCCAAGTGGCAACCTTTGTCCACTGACAGCACTGACCCTCCGTTGACCCCCCGGTTGACCCCCCTGCTGACCCTTCAGCAGAGGCCGGCAGCTCATTACAAAATGTTGGCGTCGACTGTCAGCTACACATGAAAATTGCACAACTTTTGCCTTATTACGAACGAAGAGTACAGCGAATCAGGAGCAGGACCACGCAGACCCTCGAAATCCTTCCCCTTGCTGGGCACTCGGCTTGGCAACAATTTTTCTTTTTCATTTTTTACCAGCTTCCTCATTTCATTTTAATTTTGTGCCTTGCTCTCTCACTTTTCCTTTGGTTGCGCTGCCTCTTTTTATTCTAATTAAATTTTTTTTCTGCCCAAAGGGGGCTGGGACTGGCTGGTGGCGGCCAACAAGGCGAATTTATTCTTCTGTAAAAACAAGAAAAATTACGCAAAATAAATAAATTTACATAAGCTCGGCGTGAGCTAAGAAAAAAACAAAAAAGTAGCAAGCATTTGTACATAACAATAAATAAAATTGCATTTTCATTTGGGTTTTTCCTTTCTTGGGTCTGGGTTCTAGGTCTAGGTTTGGTTTTGCTTTGTCCAATTTCTCAAAGAAACCCAACCGGGAAAAAAAACAAACAAAAAATAGGGTTACATAGTAAGATCGCTTGGTATTTGCCTGTTATTCGAAAGTAATTAAAAGGGAAAGACTTTAAGCCCTTACATACTTAGCTGTACTAAATGTAATTAGAACCCTTAAAAAGTTTAAAAAGCATAAACTTTAAGAAGCAGAAATTGTATTGTGCAAAAGTATAACTATATCCTTACAGAGGACTACTTTATAAAGTAGCAGAACATTTTCCATTACATTAAAACTAATAAGGAATATATTTCGTACTTATTTGCTCGAGTTCATAGTTTTTCAAAACCATAATGGCTTTGTTCCCCCGAAACCTCAGCATTCTCATACTATTTTAAGCCAACCTTTTCATGGTTTCATTCATTTTCGAACACTCTGCATTTATCTCACCATTTTTGGAAAACCTAAAACTAACCTGCTAAATATGGTCATGCAATTATCGACTGCTGATTCGAATGTAACTTCCGTACCCCCCCACTTAACCACAATTTTGGATTAGGCGAGCGCTAGCAGTTGAACAAAGAAATAAATTGGGTATCCTTCCCCCGCCGTTAAACGTTTTGTGGAATTGGGCGTACATGCTGGTTACTGGGGGCTTTGTTTAAAACCAAATCGTTGAAAATAGCTAACTCTTAAATAACCGGATAATAAAGCGGAACATATTAGTTCCGATTCTAAAAAATAATATTTATTTAGTCGAATGCAAAATCACAATAAAACAAGTTAATAAATTCAAGATACATACAGATTTAGCGGTAAAACTTATTTAAATTATAATGCAAAATTATTTTGAAGCATCATTAAATTCCTTAAAATCTAAGATTATGTATACGCACTGCTGACAAAATGCCAGATTTCTCTGTTCAAATATGATTATAAACAAAACTAAAACTGACTAAACACCCTGCACACGAATTTAGTCAGGATACAACCCATCCAGAGAAAATTTCGAATGTTCTCTTTATTTTAATACTTTCAATACTAAATATAGCAATTTTCATAAAAATATAAAAATAGCATGTCATTTCATTTGGAAAAAAAAATGTTAAATTGGTATTAATATAGACGATTTTCTGTCGTTAATTGTACTTAAAATAGAGTTTGTGTTTATCTAATGATAGCAAAAGAATAAAGGTATCACACAGTCGGGAACTTTGGCTATACCAATCCACTTGCTTTATTTCCAAATGCCTGCGAATTTCGCCTGCTTTGCCGCTATTTTAATAACGTGCATGCTGCGCATTTAGGATAACATCTGAATTTATGTAACGACACAAACGCAAACAAAGATGGCAGCCAGACAGGCGAAACGTGAAAAGCGGAGGGGAAAAGCGTCGGAGTGGGACAGCGACGATTTTCCGGGGCACAGCGAACGGTGGAGCGAGAGGGAGTCAGGGTCGAGAAGAAAACTCAAATGAAAACTGATGCGGATTAGTATTTAAAATAATGTCCTGCAGGGATATAACTTGTGGCCCCCCCCTCAGGCCTTGGGCCTCATTCCGTTTTCTTTGCTGGCTTTTTATTTTTTCTCACTTGATTTTTTATTTTGTGTTTCCTTATACTTTTTCCCATTTTAATTCCTTTGCAGCGATTTTTTTTCTTTCGGGGAATGTTTCATAAAATTTATATTTGCAGATAAGTGTGCTTGTAGGTTAGGGAGGACTGGGGTCGAGGGCCAGGATGTTTTTATTACGAGACTATTTACATATTTTTCTTGTTAAAATTCCTCAACATTCTCCCTTTCGTGTCATATGAATTCTCCCCCATTTTCTTGTTTCTAAATTAATGTTAATTTTTATTACACTTACCGTACTGTCGGGCTGTGCCCCGCAAGCCGAACCTCTCAGCTCATTTAAATTCAAGTTTGTTTGTCTGAAAGAACAAAAAAAAAAAAAAGGAAAAACAAGAAAAGCTGAGAAGGGAAAATACCAATGGCGGAGTCCAGATGAAAATGTTAATAATAAAACAACAAAATCCAAATGAATGCCTTGCAAATCGAAAAATAATAAAAATAGAAAACCTAGCTCCCCCTTGGGCTCCTGTCTGCAGGACACCAAGTCCCCCAGTCGATGCCTCATTACGTATTCCCTGAACAAATTCTATTAATTATCGTTATGTCCATCTGATGGGTGACGGCAATAGCAGGACCACCTGCTCGTTTCCGCTCGTTTCTTAATAAATGTAACACGGGGATTTTAATTTCACCCAGTAAGCTGTGTTTATGTCCTCTAAATGGTGTGTTTTATCCATATATTAAGTTAAAATACAATATAATTGTTTATTCTTATTGGTATTTTACACTAAGTCATACGTTTTTGTAAGTTCCTTTAGTTTTTTTTAGGGTAACTACAATCGAAAATAGGAAAATAATATTGTGTACATTTCCCTTGTGGAATCCAGTTACTAAATTATTCCCAATTCAATTTCCGATAGCCAAATAAAATCACAGTCAGCCAACTAAGGAAATGGGACATCGAGCACTTGCATTGGGATATGCAGAGATGAGCAATTTGTTGTTCTGATGCTGCTGGTGCCCGTCATGGAAAATTCTAAATGTTTCAATCAACTATTCGCAATATTAAATATTAACGTAAAACTCGAGTGGAGTTGTCTCGGACTGACCCTTTCGATGTCGGACCCAAAAAGGTCATCATGTGTCTGCGAGCAGACTTGCTTCGACTCACATCACTTCGATACACATAAAAAAAATTGTATTATTTTGGCATAAAATAATATTTCTTTTGTGTAATTACTTATTTTTATCGTAAGCTCTATTTTAGCCAGAAAACAAATGTATATCTGCCATTCAAAATATTTTTAGATATATTTATCATAAAATTATTATCAAAAGCTTAGTTGAAATAAATTTTGTTTCATCATAAGCCCTTCTGGCAAAACTTATATTCATTTGTGCCATAAAATTTTATTTTATGATAAATTCATCATAAAATTATTAACATTTTCTTCAGTGTATATAGCTGGCAAAGCAATTTTGGACATTTTTCATCATAAACAGCAATGACTAAGCATGCAGTTGGCAGACTCAACCCCTTTTGGGAATTTCTTCCTTGGCCGGGCTTTGATTTCGAATTGGATTTGAATTTGGAATTTTTGGCTTTCAAGGACCGCCGGAGGTTGGAGTTGAATTGGAAATGGCTGTGTGGAGTCCGAGCTGGTCAAGTTGGTCAACGCATAAATATTTCTCTTTGTTCGGCCATCGCATCGGAGCCAAAAAAGAGCATTTCGTGTGTGTGTACCTGTACATCCTTGCCGGTTTGCACTCATCTCTACACCCCCTGACCCCTTTGTCTGCTGCCACCCACCCTCTGCACCAGCACAAACAAACAAGCCAAAGGATCTGGAGTGGTGGGCAGCCCGAAAGGATGGTCAGATGGTCAGATATGAGCAACGGTCGAATGGTCAAGTCAAAGTTATTGTCATGTCATGTAAGTGCCAGCCACCTTCCACACCCTCGCCATTCACACCCCTTTCTACCCCCTGTCTCGGTCAGATTTTCCAATTTCATCTTCATCTTCCATACAGTACAAGTAAACCATTTTGTTTTCCACAGTGGGAACAATTTGATTTAAGGTTGTTTGCCAAACAACATAAAAGATTCAAATTCTCTAGACTTGGAGAAGCTTTTTCTACCAAGTTATGATATTCTATGAGAAAACCTTTAAATTTTAAAACTTTTTTATTGTTTATAACTAAAATTGTACTCTCCTAAAGTTGTTCAAAACGACATTTATTGTTTGAGCAGAAAAGTTTAAGCTTAAATAGTTACCAAAAAAATAGCGAAACATAACATAATGCACATCAACAAAATTTCTTTTGAACCTTATTAAAACTAAACTCGACTTTGTTAGCATAATAATTTAATAAAATATAAATAAATGCAAATAAATTAAATGATCAGCAATGAATTAAATGTTATGAAATAAATGTTATTGGTTAAATTGCTTGAGAAATAAATAGTTACTCCATAAGTCTTGTAAAATAAATCAATCAAAAGTGGAAGCTTAGCTAAGTTAACAAAAAATGCTTCTTGTAAAAGACTCTTGAACAATTTATACTTGCTAAAATGCCACTTACTTTCGCAAGAACTGTAGACAGTATATGATGAAAAAGTTGTCACACGTGCGCTGAAAGTTTAATGTAAACACACCTGCTAAAAAAAAAGAGTCATCAGAAATTCACCGAAACTTTTCATAAGTTTGAAGAGCTCTGGGGCAGATCGTGTTCGGGAAAAGGTTTTCCCCGGGGTTGGGAAAAATGTAAATATCGACTGTAATGGCCGTCGCCCCAGGAGGTGGAAAAATCAACTGACCAGTAACTTTAGAGCAAACTTTGATGGCATCTTGCGAAAGTTGAAAGTGACTTAAGTGAAATTTCCACCTCAGGCGGCTCAGCAAGCCTCGTCCCATTTATTTTTTTTTTTCTGTGGATTTTCGAGGGGTCACACCATGAACATGAGTAAAAATTAAATTGATTTTCCTCGGACATTGTTCGGACCTGGGCCAAAGTTCTGTTCGCTTTTCTTTCTGCCTCTTCATGGTCTTTTGACAACCCTATGGATTTCGGTTTTTTTTTTCGCCCAAATCATTCAGAAAACTTTTACTGCGTACTCCTTCAACTTGTCTGTGTCGCATATTAAATTGGTGCGCAAATAGTTGGAGACCGAGACCCTGGACTAGCCAGTATTTTATTGACTTACTTTATACCAGCTCTTCACTTTGAGTTTCTCGCATCTGGCTGAATTTTTAGCCCGGAAAAATATTAACTTGAAAGCATCTTCTCCAGCCATCAACTTAATCCGTCGTCCCATTCCACTTCCACTTGACTTAAGCGACAATTTCGTTTCAATTAAATTATAATTATATCTTCAGTTGGGCCCCCATCAAGTTTCAGTCGGGCAAAAAGTACAATTTTCATTTTCACCTTTGCGAAAGACGACGGCGGGCGTTGATAATTCCCCAAAATTGTTTGACACTTCAAAGTCATTATGAAGATAGCAATCACCAACCCCGTTTCCCGGTCCGCTCAACATTTCTCCAAGGTTCCTGGCATTTCCTCACGCCCCTGGAACTCGCAATCCTTCAGGACCCCTTCCACTTCCACACTTTCATCTTCACACTTTTGCCATTCTACTCAATCCTAAGATGGGATAAGCCACGTCTGTCTACATACCTACATACCCGCAGCGCTTTTTGATGTAATTTTGGCATAAGCCAAAAAATGTTTCCTTTCTCGAGATGTCTTCTTTGTCTCCACTCCCCAGCGAGCGGTTTCCGAATGCGACACGCTCTGACAAACTCATCCGGGCAAAATGAATAAAATGGCTGAAAATTAAATTTGGAATTAAAATTTTAGCGTTGCGCACATAACTTTATGCCTTCGGGTTTCGCTTCTTTACAAAAGGGTTGTGTCCTGGAGCCAAGAGAAAGCATGATAATAGCCATGAAGTGAAAGATTTCAGAGATTACATTTAAATACTTTTTATAAAATTTAAAAGTGGAAATACACGAATTATAAAATACAAAGGATGCCACGAGACTAAATTTGTCTGATTTTATTATTTAACAACTTACAGTAAATTCTTAGAAATTCTTTCAATTGTATCATTCCACAGATTACAAAAAATATGTATATATTTGTAAGACTTTTTATTAACAAGCTACAATTTATAGTATCTTTATCGAAAATGGTAAGTTTGTAACGAGTTAATTGATAGTCAATAGATTAAGCTGCCATATATTTAGTATTACTATGAGCAAGTTAATTTAAGGCAAATTTTAATATTGAGTTTATCTCATTTATTACTGCTCAAGAGCACTGATCAGCGAGAACTAATGACGTCAGAGGACTTAAAGCTCAATCACATATTTACTTCGGCGTCATGCCCGAGTCTCCAGTGTTTTTTTTAATCCAGTCCACGTATGGAGAAATGCGCGTGAATACGAACAAAGCGGTATCGCGCTTGAAACCTGTTATCTTTCCAAAGGTAGGAAGTCCGACCAGGAAAAAGAAATACGGCTCACCGTCCGATACTTCGATGCCCATCAGTGGTGATCCGAAAAAATTAAGCATTTGCCCAGCTGCCGTGGCGCAAAGGTGATTCTTGGAGAGATGCAACTGGTCTTGCAGGGAGCCACAGTACTTGAGACCTATCGTGTGCACCTCCACCTTCGTGCGAAACTCATCGTCCTTGTGCACATTTGTTTGGTTCCTGGACCGCCGCTTGAAACCCACCATTGGCAGCTTCTGAGCTATGTGACTGTCGTCGTCCTCGTCCTCCAAGTGTGGTGGAAGGCAAAGGGGTCCCACGTAGTCGCTGTAGATCACCTCTCGCAGCAGCTTGGCCAGTGCGACGTCGTGGTCGATGGAACTGGGATTCTTCCGACCCATGTACTTTGGGTGCACTATCAACTCTTCGATGTCGTAGGCTTCCGGGGCAACAGCACACACTCTGCCGCTTTTCTCCAGGCGACAATCGGCCTCAACGATGTCCCCGTTGGCACGCCAGTCCCCGAAAAGGATGAAAGTGGCCTCGACTTTGGCCTGGTTCAGCACACAGTGGGCGGGAAGAACCGCAAAATGGGGCTGGATCAGCACCGCCAGGCAGTAGAAATCGGTGGTGAAATTACTCGACTCTCCGTAGCCCACGCGACCAATCCACGCATACTCATCCGGTTCTGTGATTTCCTTTCGATTAAACAGCTGGCTGTCCTTCAACCATCCACACGACTCTCCCTGAATTTCTAAAAACGAAAATATATATATTGGGTATATCTGCTTGGCATAGATTTTAAGTAAATTGGAAAGTTTACACCCCTAGAACTAGTTGGGAATTATAGCTTCGCATGTGAGTTAAGATTATAAAAACTGAGCCAGCTCTTTGTGCTTTATTGGATAAAATAAATTAAATTCATTTACTTTTCCCATTGGAATTCAAGCAACACTATGTTAATCATATTGAGTTTTAATATATTTATTTATTCAATCCAGTTCACAACCTGGTTTATAGTTTCATGTATATTTACCTTTGAAAGGAGGTACATATTAATTAAAAGACCCAAATTTATTCACCTTTTTAGTTATACAAAAATTTTGCAAATATCAAAGATTGATTTGTAACTTACGCAACAATATGGTAGCAAAAACTACAAAGAAATAGAGCACTGGAATTCCTCCAAACATCTTGCTGTAATCTTTAATCGTAACTGACGCTCTATCAAAGCATCAACTTAACTCTAGTTGTTGCATTGAAAAGCTGCGACTTGAGTCGGGTTTTCGCACTCTAGTGTTGCTATTACAATTTGTTACGACTTAAGAGTACCGGTTTTAAAATATTCTCTATCTCAGTTAGAACAGATTTCTCTTTGAGTTTCTGTTCCGTTTTAATTTAACGCAATTTTGCCCACTTTAACTAAGAGTAAATGTGTTTTTTTTTTAAGTGACGTCAAAAGTACCACGAATATTTACCTATTTAATTTTTTGAAAAAGTTAGTACTTCTTTTGAAGGTACAAACTTGCAAAACTATTTATGGAAGGCAATACAGAATATTATGATGCCCGTTTGAACTGTTCAAATTAAAGCACAATAAGTGTAAGGCAGATATAATAATAATAATCAACACCACAATTTACTATATTATTTATATTGTCAAATTCAAAAATACAAATATTTTTTTTATTTATTTAAATTTACTTGTATTTGGCGGCTTTATGTTACCAGATCGTATCCACCTGTCGGCTATTTCTGTGAATGGCAGATTATTATCAGCTGGTTGGCTCTTTGTGCTTTCTATATCAATACATATTCAAAAGTAGAGATTCTCCCAAATTGCTAATTTTGTTCTTTTCGCATTTATTTGATTATTATTTGTATTTTAGATTAGTACCAACCTGTGCGTATTGTTATCACGTTAATACTGTGAAGTATAAAGTGTAAGAGCAAGTAAATAAGATAATACAAGTCTTTTATATGCATGATGAAATTAAAAATGTGCATTAATACTTTATGTTAAAAACTTCTCTTTGTTTACTAAAAAAGTCAAACGTGATTGTTATTGTGTATGTGATAGGTTGAATAATGTACATATAATAAGTACAAATTTATTAAATATTGTTTACCAAATATATATAGTATGTATATATTTAAATCAGTTTTATTTTCATTTGTATTTTTTTTTTGATTGGTGGAAACGTTGAAAATAAACAGTTTAACATACTTAAATATGGCCTGTTCGTCTATTTACCAAACATAAAAGTTTTTAATCTTCGAATTATAAAATATAGTATACACCTATAGATAGATTGGAAGCGACAAAGCGTCATAAAATTTTTGTTTTATTATTATTGTTGCTGGTGTGAGGTGATTCACTGCGATAATATTGCAAGAAATTTTTTTAATACCATAAATGATCTTTTCAGATTTGTTTGGAACTAGATCAGATGGGTTGTCGCCGATTTTCTGGAGGAGGACACCGCTCACGAGGAGGTCCGCCTCACCACCATCGACCGCATCATGGCGGGCACCGCGGTGGACACGGTTGGCATGGTCATGGACCTCCTGGTGGACACCATAGCGGTGATCACTATAGGGACGGATGTGCTCCTCCTCCTCCTCCACCACCGCCCCCTTCTCCACCTGCTGACGGACAACCATGTGGAGGGCACTATTGGCATGGATATCATCATCCTCCGCCACCTCCTCACCATCAGCCACCACCTTTTGGATACCAAGGAGGTGGTTGCCACTATTGCGGATGCCCCAGAGGCGGTCCACCACAGAGTTCACATCCCGGGATCCAAGCACCACCTAGCGAAACCCCAAATGTCGATCCAAATGGTAACAATGCGTCCAGTAACACCGACAGCAGCCAAATTCAAAATACTGAGGAAGAAATCCCAAGCAGTCAAATACCTGGCAGAAATAAATACGAAATCATTGATCTTAGGAATCCGTGACTCCTTAAGAGAATTCGATTATAAAATATATATCCCAAACTTTTAAAAATATTCCTTTAAAATATTCCTTAAAGTAATTTAAAAGGATTTTAATTCTACATGTTTAATTAATTTTTACAAAGACTTTTTTCTGTTTCTTAAAGCAAATAAACTGACCATATTTTTGGAATTCACTTCAATGTATCGCTTTTACATTTATTACAAATAAAAATAGTTAAATAAAACCCGCAAACCCTAGCTGATGTCCCAAAAAAACCTGGAATATTTAGTTCTCCGCTCTAACCATATGTTGACAATATTTATTTGTGTAAGTCCTTTATTTAGGTAGAGATGTAGATAACATGGTATCCTACTTAATATCGGCATTCAGGTACAGGTCTTTCTGTCTACCTACATTTTCGGCTTCTGGTATAAATATCACAGAATTTTTGAAATGACTTCAGTACTGAATCATCTCGCAAAATGAAATTACTGGTGCGTTTCCTCGCGGTGAAAAATTATTTAAAATACTCACTATTCAATTTCTTACCTTGTAGATTGCTGTGTTTGTGCTGGTGGCCACCGTTGTGGCTCAAAATGGATATGGCCAAGGCGGATTCGGTGGACAAGGTGGATTCAATGGGCAGGGGGGATTCGGTGGACAAGGAGGATTCGGTGGACAGGGAGGATTCGGTGCACAAGGAGGATTCAATGGACAAGTAGGATTCGGTGGTCAAGGTGGATTTGGTGTTGGTCAAGGAGGTGTACTTCCGCAACATGGAGGATTTGGTCCACAAGCACAGCCAAATCTATACGAGCCCGGTTACGGAAACAATCCTGTTGGACCTGGTCATTTTCCTGGAAACCATCATGAATATCCGGACCATCACGAGCATCACCAAGAGCCACATCATCATGAACACCATGAGCACCATGGACATCACGAACATCATGGCCATCACAGGCATTAAGAGTTCAGATCTTATATTATACATTTCTCGTTCTCCCGAATGTACAACAAAATACTGAATTCAAAAATAAAGTTCATTTCTACAAGCAATGTCTGCAAATTTTTTATGCAAATCTGTTTATCCGATCCAAAAACTACCAAATATATATATGCCAAATAACTAATAATTAATAACAAAGTAAAAAAGCAAGACACATCTTAGCTTTACTTTTTACTTGGCAATGCTTTAAAAATAACAAATTCATGTAATCCAATGCACAGCTAATTTTCCCCATATTAGAGTGTATTTTTAATTTGTCAACTTTGGAACTCTAACTTGAAGAATTAATGAGGATTTTTTTATTAAAATAATATCTGTATCTGAGTTCAAATAAACCTGAAATCTATTCTTTTGTTAGAAATAATATGCATATTGTGTCAAATGGAAGTTGGTTATATAAAAAAAATCCTGATTCGATTTATAAAAGTGATTGTTTCTGTCTTATCCCATTCCTCAGCGAGGAATCACACTTTCATCCCCATACAGACTTCCAACTCAAATTTCAGTATCTAAAATGAAATAACTGAGCCACACAAATAACTAAGAAAAAAGGATAAATAAGGAACCGAAACCCTTTACTCCGTCCACTTTGGTTCGCTCTTCTATAAATTATTTCGCAGATAAAGCATATACCGCAGTGGATGGGCCCACACCCTCACCCACACCCACACCCCATCTCAACTTTTGCAATCGGAGAAAAGGCTGCTGTCCACCGCTCCCCAGCGACATTTTCTGACCAACGCAACTGACAGAATTGAAAAATAAGCGATGCCCGACTGCGTGGGCGGGGGTGGTGTGTGTGTGGGGGGAGGGGAGGTGTGCCAGGTGGATGTGGGGGCTAGGGCTGAAGGTGAAAAATAAAAAATGGCGTCCAGTCGAGTGCTCAACCTCAAGATTTATAACGAAATGAAAAAAAAAGTCAAGTTAAAGGTGGGAGAAAAAAAGCACACGTTAAAATAATGCAAAAGCTGAAAAAGACTAAAAAAATATGCGGAAAAGCACCCACACACTGGTGAAAAGAGTGGGGAAAAAGGAAAAACCGCACACACTGATACACGCAACAACGGAAATGGAAAGGATAAAATTAATTTTTCTCCTTTTTGCCATTTACTTCACCTGCTGCTTTCCTCCCACTCGCGTTTTTCTTTCAAGAAGAGCGGAAAAGTGGCTCGGGAAAGGTGGGCGGGTGAAAGTGGGTGGGTGAAAGGGTGAAAGGGTGACCAACCCAAGCGGCAACATTGCTGACGCTATCAAACACCACAAACACATTTAGTTTGCGGCGAATTTGTTTTTGCGTCGTTCACTTTTCTTAGTGCTTCTTTTTCTAGCAATTTGCGCCATAAAAATGTGAAAAAAATGCAACAAAAAAAAAGGACTAACAAAAAGGCAGGTGACGCAAGAAGAAACTTGCGGACAAATAAAAATGGCTTACAAATATTTAACTCACCTGAGAGCGCGACTCGCAAACGTACATTTTTGTAAGGAAAATCGTACAAGTATAACATAAGTTAATAAAATTTAGTATAATAAAACTAATAAAAATTTTTAAAAAATTTTAATCAGATCTGTAAGCTTGTTTTCAAAAATGTTTTAGGGTAGACAAATCATGGCCAAACTTCTGCTTACATTCTAAATAAAAAATAATAACAATAAAAATATTTATATTTACTTTTATTATTTATAATATTTGGATTGGTTTTTCACGTAGCCACAAGTTCCTTTTCTATTTTTCTCTTTCTCTGTGCTGCAATGTCTATACTATAAAATATCTATAATAAATCTACTTTTTCTAAACAAGTCTCGTCAAATAAAAAAGATAAAAAGGGGGAATTTGATAAAAAAAAAAATTGAGACCATAAGTGAAGGGAAAGGGCAGAATGTAGCAGTGTCCAGTTCAAAGGGAATAAAAAGTGGAAACCAATAACAGCAATGGGGATGCAGGGGGGACCTGGGATAATCCGCTGAAGCAAGTGAAAAGGAAACAAAGCAAACTTAAGCGAAGTGAAGCAATAAAAATGAAATGGGAGTACCAGGAAATAGGAAGAGCAGCCTGTCAAATGGGAAATATTATGACCCCCCACCGCCCTTTTGGATCCGATAGCCAGATGAAAGTGGAAATGGAAAAGGAAATGGGGTGACCTCACCTAGAATCTAGTCAGAAGTTCTCTGCTCTCCAACCCCTGGAAAATATTGCGCATACGCAATGTGCGACGACGCCATTTGGGTGGGGAATTATGAAAGTGACCGCAGGAATTATGAATTTGTTCGCTTCGCTCGACCAATCAAAAAAGCACCCCGTCATGTCAGCCAACCACAGGAAAGGCTTTGTGAACCTGCGCTTATTGCATAAAGTTATGTGTATATATCATCATAATCCATAACGTGGCGGCATACACCCCCCCACTGAGGAGAAAAGAAAAAACCATCAAGACTACGAGCGTTTGTTGTCTTTGGCTTCAAATTACAACCACAAACACAGCGGAAATGGGGGTCTCAAGGGGCGCAGTGGGGTGAAACAGCCCTTAAAACGCACACACACACCACCACACTTCTCGCAAGTCAACAAAGAGGGGGAAAAGCCCAAAAGAAAGCGAGTTTTTGGGGGTGAAATCAGGCCAAGTCGGGCGGCAGCACCCTCAATGCCACCCAATTATAACCGTATGGGTAAGGCTGTTTCCGTTGGTGGGTGGGTGGTTGGGTGGCTTATTTGAGCGGCGACTTCAACTGCGTCGCTCGTTTTGTTATTGTTTCATTTTTCTCGTTTTCCCTTCGATTTTTCTTCTATTTATATACGTGCTTGCGAGTGTGTTTGTATTTATGTGGGATATAGTCAAGACTCACAAGCTTCACGTACGCACGAGCATTCGGGCAAAGTTACTGCGATACGTGCAACATCATAAAAAGGACAAAACAATAACAATAAAAATCATATAGTATACTCATAGCCCGGCTAGAACCCCACCACCACCCACCAATACCACCCCCAAGTCAGCCTCCTGCTTATGTACATATGTGGCTTTATATGAATATAAACGAAAAGCGTTAAGATATGAGCGTCCACAAGGAATACACGATAGCTTTTCTGGGGGAACGACCATCAGTGGTCAATGCCTTCAGTTCTTGCTTACACATGTAGAATGTGCCCACAGAGACAAACATTTCAAACAAATTACTTAAAAGTCTGACGGCACTTCAATAAAAATAAAGGTCCCTATGGTAGTTTATAAGTAATATTATACATTTAACTTATATATATAACTACAATTTAATAACTAAACTAATTTTTATAGAAAAGAATATACAATTTTGCAGATTTTTATCTCGCATTATCTGGAACAAAATTGGCAACAGAAAAATTTAATTACAACAATATATTTATATACATATTTAAGTAAATTGAAGATAATATTTACACTGAACATTAATAATAGTCTCAAAAAAAGGTTTACACTAATGTTTTTCTTGAACATTTAAATCGTTAATGAATCAAAGGTTGTATTTTTATTATAAAATTATCTAGTTGTATGTTAAAGTTACCATCAAGTTGAGAGTTGGACCACCAAAAAATAGCAAGTCTTTTCTATGTGCCATATGGCCTGTCAGCGCCTCCATGGCTGGACTCCATCGATTTCCCTCAGCCACAAATAAAAACACATTAGAGCGGCTAAGAACCTCATTTTACGAAGACGAGGAGGTTTGGTGGTGGGTGGTGGTGGGAGGCAAAGGGCCGTGCAGACCCAAGGATACGACGTTCGCTGTTTGGCTTGATAAAATGCGTTAAAACGAAAATTAAGCAACACAATTAATGGACTCGCTTTATCATACAATTTTAATGGCTCAAATAAATTGGCCAGTGCCATTCCGGAGCTCAGGATGGCCCAAAAATGAATCTAGAGCACACACACACGCACACACAAAACAACACCCTCTCGTGAGTAGATGTAAAAGTTTCTGTATTTCTTTGTGTGCCATAAACACACTTCATCAAATGGACACACTACATATCTTAAGATACATAGTTGACCAGCTTCCATTTTTACTATTCTATTTGCCCTGAGCTTAATTAGTTTCAGGTTGCTATTCAGCAGATCCGATGCTCTCAAATGGAGTCATTTTTGGCCAAAAGATATGCCCTCTATCGCAAGTTAAGCAAGCAAGTTAATATATATGATTTCATTACTGACTGTAACTATTTTGGTTTTAAAAATCAAAATTCCGTTAGAAACCATTTATAACTATGGTTGTTCTCTATATGTCTAAGCTAAATTTATCTTCTAACGCAGAGTAACACCGCAAACTGTTGAAGTATGACATCATATTTTGGGGTACACCCACCGCAACTCATCGTTCTCCCCCGAAAAGAAAACCACACGACATGGCCTAATCCCGCACTGGCCAACATTGTTATAAAAGTGCAAACAAACATGGCCGGCTTGGGTGGCTGTAGGGGATGATTTGGGGGTGGTGTAGGGGACAATGCCACCCAACCGAGCCGGAACCGAAGAGAATCCAGCCAAACTGGGCGGAGGCAAAGTGAAACGAGTCCACAGCTTGACCAGAACAAAGAGTAGGGGACTCAGAGCAGCGGCCGCAGAAATATTCAAGAAGGAAACGCGCCATATTTTTCTATCACCCCCCGCTAGTGATACATAAGGTACAATTCTTAACAAGAAAAAAAATAGAAAACCTAACCAAACTAAGTTTCAATTAGAAATAAATTTTAGGATAAATTTATTTTGTTTAAAAATGTATGTTTGAAAGCGATCAGTCTTAAATACAACTTAAAAAACATTGTCTTAATTTTTCAAATTAATTCTCTGCCAAGTAAAGGTAAATGAACATCGCAATTTATGGTTTTTAAAGAATTTGTATTGAATTACTTGCAGCAATTTAGCAAAAATCTCTAGCAGTTTCCGTATCGTAGTCTTTGTCCATGAGCTTCAATGAACGAGGCGAACAATCAGTAGGACCTGATTTTCTTTTCATTTTGGCTGGATAATTTCAGTTCAAAGCAAGTCAGTTAATTCGACCATCAGAAATTGTTGGACTCAATTGCAGAATATTAATTTTCTTCGGGTAACGATACATACTGTTACTGTTTCTAGCGACGGCTCTGCCACCAGCTCTGTCTGTATTCCCAGCTCCGTCTTCAGTGCATTTTTCTAATATAAGCCACGATGGATTCCGATCCCTATCCTCTTCAATTTGATTCATCATTCTGGGCGAATACTTTCCGTTTGGAAGCCGTTTTGGATAGACTCGATCACTTAAGGGAGGAGTTGGAGGCCCAGACTCGCAGCTTCCTCGAAGTTCTACCCGTTCAGTCGTCCGCAAGTCCACAAGTAGTGGATGTCGAGGTTGGGACGCCACCGAAACGCATCCGGTCCGATCCCGACTTGTCCCAGAAGGAGGAGCCCTACAAGTGCCCGGTTTGCTTGCTCATTGTGAGCAAGCTCAAGCCGGTGGCCACCAAGTGTGGACATGTCTTCTGTCGAAAATGCATCCGAACTGCCATAAGTGCTATGCACAAGTGCCCGTTGTGTAACAAAAAGCTATCGGCCCATCAATATTCTCGAATTTACTTATAAAGATCCTTAACTAATGTTAATATTGCTCTGCAATTATTCCTTTTTTAATCAAAAAAAAAAAGATAAATACTGCGAAGAATGTCTTTTTTTCTGAGTTGTTTTCCTTTTAATACGTTCAGTTACTCAAATATAAACAATCGTAAATATAAATCCGAGACCCTTAATTAAGTACAGCGTGGTACTTGTTAACCATGTGTATTATATAATATAACAAAATCTGAACCACTCTGGTTCGGAGGAATCCTATTCCGAAGTGGTCAATAGCCCTAGTTTTAATGTCATAGAACTTTAACTAGGTAAAAAATGGTGTCCCAAATACATTATGAAGATTTAAATGTCCATTAAAAATAAAGTACCTAGATATGTACCTAAGTCCCACTATCTAGATACTTCGCATCACTGCGCAAGCGAGAGAGTTCGAAAAGTTGTATTCAGGAGAGAGCTAGCCAGCAAATCGGGAAATTATGAAGCTGAAGACGTGGACGGTGGGTCAGAGAAAGGGGGTGTGGTCAGTAAGGGGTCAGTGGGGGGTCAGTGGGTGGTTAAGTGTACGGGACACCGCCGACCTGAGCAAAGGACAACAGAATAACAAAAGGAAAAGCAAGCAAGCAACACACAGACACACACACACACACACACTGGAAAAAAAATGAGAAACCGTGTGGTCCGCTGGCTCGGCAAAATAAATCGCTGGACATAAAACCAGGCGAGTGTAAGTGAGATAGAAGACGGGCCAAAAGAAGAAGTTGCAGGACCCAAAGTGCGAAAGAGAAGGCAAGGACTGGCTGTCCAAGAAAGAAAGAGAGGCAGCGAGCGCCAACAGGAATAAAAAATTGAATGAAATATTTTTATAACCACATATACACACACATACACACAAACACATAGCAAACAGCAGGAAATAGAGGAAAAAAAATATAGAGAAAGAGGGAGCGAGATGAAAAAGGAAAAAGAAAGAAAGAGATGGGTAGCTGCTGAAGGATATTGATGGGGCGCAACAGTAAAAGGAACCCATGGAAAAAAGAAACGCCAACTTGCTTATCAAATATGAAGGAACCGAAAGTGGGTCGAGGTTTTGGGTGGTTCGCTACTTGGGCTTTGGGTATCATAAAAGCCATGAGCTCACCTGCGAGGGGGTGGCAGAGGAGTGTGGGGGGGGATACCACACCCAGGTGGGTAGGTGGGTCTGAAAATTTTATGGATGCCCGATGGCACGACAGGTGGTCAGAGCACCGCCCACCGCCCACCACCCCATCTCTACCATATATTCCCCACTTTTTTTTTTATTCTTCGTAGTCATAAAAGCAGGGTGCAAGGTGGATCGAATGGGAGCTGGCACACGTGCGGATAATAAAAAATGTTTTACTTTTCAATCGACCAATAATATGGCGTTCAATGGACAGGCCAAACGTGCTAAACCCAAACAATGGACCATCGCCACCCCCACGTAAAGCAACCCAAACTCAAACTCAAACCCAAACTCGTAGACCAGCAGGATGAGATACTCACACACGTACGTAGTTCAATCATCGTTAAAAAGAATTTCATTTTGAAAAATGCCAGAACTTCAATAAATTATATTGCCTCTGGACCACACGAAAGGATACTAGAACTGGATGACGGATGGTGTGGTGGTGGGGGGTCAAAGGTGGCTTCGTGCAGGGATGTGCCCGGAGTCGCTATCATAACCACAATACAAAGAAATTGGGTGGGCAAACAACAAAAAGGTTGGTATCCGTAAGATACTCGACTGCGGACAGGTGAATCAGGTCATCGGGGGAGCCCGAGGATGGGACCCCGAGCCAATGGCATTCTGAAGCGTCAGCGTCTCCAGCTGCCCGCTCGATGGTTATTGGTTCGCGTTGCAGTAATATAATATACACACACACACACACACCGACACACACACACCGACACACACACACCGACTCACACTCACTCAGATATGTGAAATAAAAATTGTGAAATGAAAGGAAATAGCGGAAAAAGCTGAGAAAAAACTGAGAAGAAAGCCATAGCAAACTATTGGAAACGAGGGGTCAGAGAGGGCAGATTTGAGCTCAACTTTGTTGCAACGCGACATTTTTGCACCCGAGGTTAAAAGGGTGGGGCTGGGGGTGGCGCTGAGGGTGGCTCGGTATGGGTGGGTGCAGTGGGTGGCCGCCATTGTCATAATGACGCGCATTCCTGGGCACTTCTCTCTGGATTGCAGGATCCCTTTCTGCCCGTCCGGCATTCGCTAATTAAGTCATGGAAAGTCCTGTTTTCCGAAAGGCACACAGAAAATTAATTTCTTGGTTAAATCACCCATAAACCAATTGTAATAATTAAACTACACATTGCTCAATAAGATGATTATTAAATTAATATTAATAATTAAATAATAATTAAACTAAAAAGGATACATAATATAATGTAATAATATATAACATAATATATATTATGTAGTATTAAATTAATACTTTAAAATTGTCTGTAGATTATTTTCATGAAACAAAGTAAACTAAAATTGTGCATCTGATAAATTAAGAGTAATAATACCAAAAAGTAACTTACTGAACGTTAAAGATTGATTCAAACTAATTCAAACCACAAAAACTGTTCGAAAGGTCAACTTTTTAGCAACGGTTACAGTAAGTTGATGATGGTAAGTATATTTATAAGTGTATTGTGAATATATTTTATATCTTTATAGTTATTGATTGCAATTAGTTTTCTTATATCAATTTTATAATTTTAATTACAAGTAGTCACAATCTGCAAACACAATATATATATAATATATATATAGACGCTTGAAACCAAAGTTTTTATCTCATCTAAGTGAAACACCTCCCCGCACACCCTGGAGATGTGTGTGTAAATTCCCCAGAAGCTAATCAGGCAAGCCTAACGAAATTTGCTTGGAAAATCCGTCAAAGTCAGAGGCGTTTGGCCCGCGGCAGCCATCGCAGGCCATTAGCCTTAGAAAAGCGCCCACACATGTCAGCCGAAAGTCCTCGAGGCGCACTCTGCACGTTGTCATCGCTATCGGAGTATCCACAGGAGTATCAGCATCATCATCATCATTTCAGAAGCCGGGACACGCAAAGAACTTTGATGAGTAACTAGCTATTTTGCAGCCAAATCTGAGAAGATTTTATTTATTTTCTGGTAAAAGAGGTATACTGTATTTGTTGTATAACATATATATTAATAATCAGGATCAATATTTGAGTCGATCCGTCCGACTTTCCGTCTGTCTTTATGTCCATGTTACATGCAGATTCTAGCAGCTCAATTTTATTGGAAAATGTGGAAACGAACACTCCACCGCCTCCTATCGCGAGCATTATGTAAGGGTTATACAAGTATGTTTATTTAGCCAATAACTATCGACTAATACAAAAAACTTCCAAATCGACTTGTTATTATTTTGATTATTTTCATTATTTATTTTTAATTCAATCAGTTAGAAACACAGTTTTTTTTTTAAATAAATTGTATCTATTTTAGTCCTATTTAGGCTGTACAATTTTTTGGATTTATCTCGTTAATAAAAAGATTTCTTGACATATATTTATTTATTAAATATTCAAATATTTTTTAGGGCAAACTGGTATTACTTTTCTTCCATATTATACTCTTTTCTAAGGACAACTTGTTTTTAAAAATCATTGTTTTCTTTTAGCTATATCCCACCACATTACATTGTTGGCAACACTAAGAGCATAAGAAACAAGAAATCTGATACTGGCCCCCAAAAACGCGTCAAACTTTGGCAGCCGCTGGCTCACTGAAGGGGTGTGGATTTCTAAAAAATGTGTTACATGTTTATTTGAAAAATCGCTAAAGGATAACTAAAGGATTCCCCTAAGGGTATTTCGCAAGCTCGAGTGATTTGTTTGCGAAATTTACATACACGCCCCTTACCCGAGAAATCCCAGGGTATTTTCCAACTCGTTGAGCAGTTCCCCGCCTTCTTTTTTTTTTTTTTTTGGCTTTCTTCACCGGCATATCCCACTCAATACGCTGCGGCAATAATTTTGCATAACGAATAAGTTGAATAAGTAAAAGTATCCAAATTGAATCAGTGCTGCTGAATGGAATCCCAGCCCAGGGAGTGGAGCCAACTCAGGTGGCGGTGTTAAGTGGCAAATTCAATTTCGCTGCCAGTTTACAGCTTCGAGTTGACATTTATGAGACGCCATTTTTGTGGCCGTTTTCAGATGTGGTGTGCATTATATCCCTTATCGATTTCCAACTATTTTCAGGGGGGCGGAGAACGAAGAGCAATCCCCAAATGGCAGCAGCATCATTAACTAACCTGCCCCGGAGTCGGTAAATAATGTAATTTATGAATTACAATTAAAAATGCGCCAAGGGCAGAGGACACATGTGTCCGCCCTTTTGGGTTGCTTACCCTCGGTTATCGTTGTCTGGCAATTTTTGTGCTTTGCTCATCAGTCCTGATCCTGCTTCCACTGCCCCGCCCCCTTTGCCACTCCCTGCGACTGTAATAAAACTCCCCATTTGGTCATTTGGCAATTATCCCGATAAATTAGCAGCCGGACAATGGCACAGCAGCGTCGCGTCGCCATTCAACCACCCACAATTCACAATCCACAAACCCACTGACCCTCAACTTCCTCCTTCACTTTTGGAAAATAGACAAGGGCTGACACAATTGGTAAATGGAGACTTTGAATTTTAGCGATTTCAATTGTCTAGGCGATTTTCTGTGGCCTAACCTCGCGATTCAAACGGATTAAAACAGTATGTAGGTTAACATTGATCGGATCAGCTTACACGCTTCAATGGTATTCATCATCTCTTAAAATTCAATCAAGCATTCTGTCTTACTTAATTGAAAAAAAAGGACAATAAACTTAAAATTTCCCACTATGTTTAAAAACAAATTAAATAATTAAGGGACTAAAATTGTATTTCACTGATACAGTTCTTAAGGTTAGGCTCAGTCAGATAAGATGTACATTTTTATACCCTTGCAGAGGGTATTATAATTTCAGTCAGAAGTTTGCAATATTCTTG